AGGGTTCAGGGGTTTAGGGTTTGGGTGGTCGCGAGGTGAACCGAGGCTCGCGCCACGTAGGCTTTGGAGCCTGCTATGTTCAGCCGGTTCTCCTTCACAGGGCCCTCCTGCCTAGGCACGAGGCGCTTCAGATCAAGCTCGATACCCTAAACCCTAAACCTTTAACCCTAAACCTTAAACCTACTAGGCACCTCCAGCAGGTTGAAGATGACACCTTTTTGCTGCCCGCTCGAATAGCTCCTGCCTTGAGATTATGTAAAATATCTGGCATGTGCCAGGCCTTGGCGATGGCTTCGTCACTTTGGAAACCAGGATTCTGCGTAACGGCCCGGAGCGCAGCTCTTGCAAAGTCCGAGCCCCATTGCACACCTGTCTTCGCTGAAGAGCACGCTCGAAAAAAGGAGAATTTCAGAAGATATAGAACGGTTTAGGTTTTTTTTTGACGGTTTAGGGTTTAGGGTTTAGGGATTAGGGAGACGGAGCTTGAATGGCAGCGTCCGTCATATGCGGACAGGATACTCTAGGATGCCCCAAAAGGAAACTCGCAAACCCTATAAGCCTGATCTGGACCCCAATAGATCGGGTTCTTGTTCAGGAATTGAGGAATTCAAGTTAAGGTACCAAAATAAACACACCCTATTCTTTACTGTAGATCCCTGTTATGGTAACTTAGATTAAGTTCCTTAACAAAAGCCCCGAAGAGCACCGAGGAGCATGAGAGTGGAACTCCAGTGCCTTCAGCTGGTACGAGCTTTTTTCGCGCTTTGCAAGGATTGGAGGCAGCTGCCCAGCCTGAGCTCCGCTTTGGGGGTTTCTGGGCTTAAAAATAGACAAGCGGATTTCAAGACTGTTTTTATCGAGGCAACGTTGTAATCCCTAAACCCTCCTAGACCCCAAACCCTAAACCCTAAACCCCAAACCCCAAACTCTAAACCCTAAACCCTAAACCCCAAACCCTAAACCCACAACCCTAAACCCCAAACCCTAAACCCCATACCCCCTAAACCCCAATGTTTATTAGGGTTCGAGGCAGCCCCCCCGGGGTGCAACCAGGAGGTCGGTGAAGCCAAGAAGCTTGGTAATCGCATCCTTGGCTGCTGGTAGGGACTCAGGCGGTTTAAGGTTTAGGGTTTAGGGTTTCGGGTTTAGGGTTTAGGGACGGACTCAGGGGCCTTCTTTCTGAGAGTGAGTAGGGTTTCTTAAGGGTTCCATACGCGATGTATAGGGTGTGTGATAAAGGCCCTAAACACATTAGGGCTATATAACACTGCAAACTACATAAGGGCTGTAAAGGGATGCCATTACAAACTCTGCCTATCGTCTCCATTGTAGTTCCTTTTTCCGGTTAACCGAGTTTATATTATAGGATGATAACCATAAAACTGGTTAGCCAACAAGGATCTACAACGGAGACGGTGTAGTATATAGTACGAAAGCGCCGCACACACCCTTCAATTGGCACTAGCTGTGGAGTCAGGTGTCCGTGATGTTTTCTATCGTCGCGGCGTAAGACAAGCGCAAGCATTTCCCATCGCCGAAGGCATCGCCGGGCACCAGCGCAACCCGATACCTCATCTGGGTTCTTGTTAGGGAACCTAACTGAAGATAGCATAATATGGGAAGTCTCTGATTCCCTTTCTATATAGATCTCTAATATGGCTCCTTAACAAGAAGAGCGTGGTCATCTGTATGAAGCAGGCACAAACGATTGACTCCTACTTAAACGTTCATGGAACTCAGTAGCTAGGGATACAAACCAGGTAACTATACTGATAATTGCCAAAGTTTCACCTTACTTCCTAAACCCGCCCAAAACCCTAAACCTAAACCCTTAAACACCATGGAACCCTGACAGAAACCATATAGAACACCGAAAAAGCCCCATAGCCTTGCTTCCTAAGTCCCCTGATCCTCCGAGTACATTGCTCCAAGCCCCCAGAGAAACGGGAGCCCCTTTTAGGGTCCTTTCTATAAGGGTGGCATAGTATAGGTGCCTTAATAATTAGAATAGGGTTTTGGGGCTCATTATGCTAGAATTGTAGTAAGAAACCCCCCAAAATGGTATTATTCAGGCCGCTGCCTTACCATTGTTGGAGCCCTGACAGGGGACCCTAAGCTAGAGAGCTACCTTTGCGGTGCCGTCCGACCCAAATTTTACAAAAGGCACTTCACCAGGGTTTGGGGCTTCAGGGTTCAGGGTTCAGGGTTTGGGGTTTTTATAGGGTTTAAACTTTGGGGGGCTAGGTTTCGAGGCAACTAAGCGGGCTCTGACCCCTCCATCTCCTGAACCCCTAAACCCTACCCTAAACCCTATAATACCCTAAAGGGAGCCCTCTTTCCTAGGTTACTGGGGATCCTAGAGAAGGTTTATTGCGGTTCTAGGGGCTTTATAGGGTTAATGAGTGCGTTATAAAGTCCTGGCGTTCTTAATCAAGGCGCTCTTCAACCCTAAACCCTATAAACCCTGAACCCTAAATCCTAAACCCAGAACCCTAAACCCAAAAGCAAGGCGCTCTTCCAGCAAATGGAGGCAGAGCTGAGTCGCATCCTGGCAGGCTATTCTCAAGTTGGGCACTGCCTCTGCACCTGCAGCACCTCAAACCGCCAGTATAGAAGCCTGGACAAAAAGCAGTACTGGTCAACTTCCTAGGTAGGTCTCCTTATTTTACGCAGTATGGTATTAAACATCTCCCAGAGCACTGCTCGAATTGAGCGTTGCGCACCGAAAGCAGCAATTTTGCACTTTCCACCCCCCCCCCCAAAAAAAAAAAAGGTGCAAGCATCCTCAAACCACACCCCAGGACCTCTGAACCCTACAACCCTCAAGTCCAACAA